ACTTCCCACCATCCATCTCACAGAGTGCAGGCACTCTACTTCCCACCATCCATCTCACAGAGTGCAGGCACTCTACTTCCCACCATCCATCCATCTCACAGAATGCAAGCACTCTACTTCCCACCATCCATCTCACAGAGTACAGGCACTCTACTTCCCACCATCCATCTCACAGAGTGCAGGCACTCTACTTCCACCATCCATCCATCTCACAGAATGCAAGCACTCTACTTCCCACCATCCATCTCACAGAGTACAGGCACTCTACTTCCCACCATCCATCTCACAGAGTGCAGGCACTCTACTTCCCACCATCCATCCATCTCACAGAATGCAAGCACTCTACTTCCACCATCCATCTCACAGAGTACAGGCACTCTACTTCCCACCATCCATCTCACAGAGTGCAGGCACTCTACTTCCCACCATCCATCTCACAGAGTGCAGGCACTCTACTTACCACCATCCATCTCACAGAGTGCAGGCACTCTACTTCCCGCCATCCATCTCACAGAGTGCAGGCACTCTACTTCCCACCATCCATCCATCTCACAGAGTGCAGGCACTACTTCCCACCATCCATCCATCTCACAGAATGCAGGCACTCTACTTCCAACCTCAGAAATTCAAGCTCTGCTAACCGGTTTGCCTAAATCTCTTCATAAATGCTACCCTGCTTACACTCTAACAGCACGTCAACCCCCCCACCCCTTTCACCCACCAAAAAAAAAAAAAAAACTATCTCCACTTATTCCGATCTAAACACGCTCATACAAGCCTTTTGGAGGTACAAACCATCCATAATCTCCCTCACACACAGTATACAACCTATAAGCATAACCTACACAGGATGTATACATCGAGAGGTGTAAGTCTTGTAGTGTATATACACACTGGGCTAAGTATTCCTAGCTGGTGGTAAACAGGTGGCATTTAATGACCCTCTTGTAACAGATAAGATTTAAATCCAATTAACCCAACCAACCTACCTTCACACCCTCATATATATAAACTATAAGCATTGTCTCACTCTGACTATCCATACAGAGGAAGAATAGTCAATGTTAGCAATTCTGTAGGGGAAAAAATGCGATAATTTCCCTGCCAACACTAGATGCCGCTCTTTAGTTCTTACCCCAGGACGGACGGGAAAGTAATCTGATCTGACCATCTCGGAGTTATTTTAGTGGTTTTTACCGGAGTATAGACACCGACGTGGTCCGGTAAGCTGAGCTCCGTGTACCGGTGAGTTGAGCTCCGTGCACCAGTCAGTTGAGCTCCGTGCTTCGGTGAGTTGAACTCCGTGCTCCGGTAAGTTGAGCTCCGGTGAGTTAAGTTCCGTGCACCAGTCAGTTGAGCTCCGTGCTCCGGTGAGTTGAGCTCCGTGCTCCGGTGAGTTAAGTTCCGTGCACCAGTCATTTGAGCTCCATGCACCAGTGAGTTGAGCTCCATGCACCGGTCAGTTGAGCTCCGTGCTCTGTTCAGTTGAGCTCCGTACTCCGGTCAGTTAAACTCTGTGCACTGGTCAGTTGAGAGCTGAGCACCGACCAGTTGAGCTCCGTGTTCCAGTAACATGAGTTCCTTGCTCTGGTCAATTGAGCTCCGCGCACAGGTCAGTTGAGCTCCGTGCTCCGGTCTCCGCTGGTGTCCAGCTAATGTTACTGAGGTAAATTGGAGGGCGGAGGGAGGTTTATGAGCCAGGGAGGGAGGGAGGGAGGGAGGGAGGGAGGAAGGGAGGGAGGGAGAAAGGGAGATGCAATAGATAGGGTGTGAAGCAACGGAGTGAAGAAAGAGATGGAAGAATGTTGAGTGCAGGAATGAAGAGGATAAAAGACTGGAGAGAGGAGAGAGAGAGAGAGAGAGAGAGAGAGAGAGAGAGAGAGAGAGGAGAGAGAGAGAGAGAGAGAGAGAGAGAAGAGAGAGAGAGAGAGAGAGAGAGAGAGAAGGAGAGGAGAGAGAGGAGAGTGAGAGAGAGAGAGAGAGAGAGAGAGAGAGAGAGAGAGAGAGAGAGAGAGAGAGAGAGAGAGAGAGAGAGAGAGAGAGAGAGAGAGAGAGAGAGGGAGAGAGTGTTTTGACTACCACTCACTACTTTGTGATCGTCAATATGGCTTCAGGAAACGTTACTCTGCTGCTGATCTGTTGTTAAACCTCTCCACTAAGTGGCACCAGTCACTTGATGAATCCAAAGTCAGCTGTGTGGTAGCACTGGACATTGCTGGTGCTTTCGACCGGGTGTGGCACCAGGGCCTCTTAGCAAAACTGTAAGCGCTGGGAATTGGGCTCTACGCTATGTCTCCTCAGTGATTACCTTCATGGTAGATCTCTATGGGTAATTCTCAATGGAACTGAATCAGCAAGACATCCTATTGGGGCAAGTGTTCCACAAGGAAGCGTGCTGGGACCATTGTTATGGAATGTCTACTTCAACGACCTTCTTCATCTCATCCCAGAATCCCATGCATATGCAGACGACTGTACACTGACATTCACTTATCCAAGAGAAGAAATGCCAGCTGCTCTAAGCTACATCAATCACCAGCTAAGAGCTATATCAGCTTGGGGAAACAGATGGCAAGTAACATTTGCACCTCAGAAAACGCAAATGATGATGGTCTCTAGGCACCATGATGGTAATGCCGGCGCAGTAATAAGCATGAATGGGAGGGTGTTGGTACCTGGGGAAGAAGTTGGTATCCTTCGGGTGAAATTTGACTCCATACTGACCACGAAGAACCATGTAAATCTTGCAAACAAGGCAGACAGGAAGCTTACAGCTCTTCGCCGTATCTCGCATCTGATTGACAGTAGGGGTTGTAAGATTCTGTATGAGGCACAAGTACGCTCACACCTTGAGTATGCTCCACTTTCTTGGTTTGTTCACTCCCCTATCAACTGCGACTGCTTGACAGAATAGAGAACAGAGCCAGACGTTTCATCCTTCGCGTGGAGCCATCCTGGATAGATCTGTCATTTCAGAAGAGCCTTCAACACAGGAGGGATTTGGGTGGCCTTACTGTTATGTACAAGGCCAGTATTGTCAAAGTGCCACACTTGGATCCACTTCGAGGACAGCGAGAAGCAAGCTTCTATACCACAAGACGGGCAGAAAGCAGCAACTTCACTCTGGCTGTACCCTTCTCCAGAACATCACTCCATCTGAGATCATATATACCCAGGATGCCTCGAGTATGGAAAACATTCGTACAGCATAATGATGTCAACGAGATAAAGTCAGTTGATCAAATGAAAATGCTGGCCCACAGATGGCTCCAACTTCATCCTGTTCCCTACTTGTATGTTTCATAACAATAAAAATGCTTTCAAATGAGCTCATGTAGGTAACAGCTCTTAGCTTGTCAATAAAGTTAGGAATCCTTAACCTGTAAATAGCTTGCCAATAAAGCTAGGGATCCTTAACCTAACCTTGTTAAACCCTGTGTAAAAAAAAAGAACATTTCTGCACTACGCAGAAACAAGCGGAAGTATGTACAAAGATCGCAGTCAGCAGGATTCGAAACTTCGTGAGCGAAGTCTAGCAAGGTTCCCCAAGTGACACTCTAGATCACTCGGCCACAGGTGCAAAGCTGCCCAGCTTTTGAGGCATCTGTGGCCGAGTGGTGTAGAACGTGACTTGGGGAACCTTGCCAGTCTCCCCTGACTGCAAATATGGAAAATTTTCATAAAAAGAAGAAAAACTCCCAGTAATTCTTAAGCATTTATTTTCATTAAGACATGATACATATATAAGTGATATATTCACTTAGACATGATGCATATACACGTGTATGTTTCACGTCGTTCATGTCATACATATGATGCATATTTTCACGATACAATAGTTTGAGCTAAAACACTTCCTGCTTCACACATACATCATACAATAATGCAACGGTATACCTATGGTCTCGTTTACTGGTTTACCATACACTCGCAACAATAATACAACAGCATAAATTCCACCTAACTGAACATTGTATTATACAACTACAGTACACAATAGTAATATATTTTCATGCAATATTCCGTAACAACGATTCAGTAAGACACAAAGGTCAAAGTGTATGTACAATAGTGTAGTGTGATCGATCTTATGTACATACACATACACACACACACACACACACACACACACACACACACACACACATACACACACACACACACACACATACACACACACACACACACACACACATACACACACACACACACATACACACTGTGCAATGAATGGTGACTAGAACCTATACGTCAGTATAAGTTAATATGGAATAATGCAATACTGAGCGTCGCAACTCAACATTGAGCGTCGCAACTCAACATTGAGCGTCGCAACTCAACATTGAGCGTCGCAACTCAACATGAGCGTCGCAAACTCAACATTGAGCGTCGCAACTCAACACTGAGCGTCGCAACTCAACATTGAGCGTCGCAACTCAACACTGAGCGTCGCAACTCAACATTGAGCGTCGCAACTCAACACTGAGCGTCGCAACTCAACATTGAGCGTCGCAACTCAACACTGAGCGTCGCAACTCAACATTGAGCGTCGCAACTCAACATTGAGCGTCGCAACTCAACACTGAGAGTCGCAACTCAACACTGAGCGTCGCAACTCAACATTGAGCGTCGCAACTGAACACTGAGCGTCGCAACTCAACACTGAGAGTCGAAGCTCAACACTGAGAGTCGCAACTCAACACTGAGAGTCGCAACTCAACACTGAGAGTCGCAACTCAACATTGAGCGTCGCAACTCAACACTGAGCGTCGCAACTCAACACTGAGCGTCGCAATTCAACATTGAGCGTCGCAACTCAACACTGAGCGTCGCAACTCAACACTGAGAGTCGCAACTCAACACTGAGAGTCGCAACTCAACACTGAGAGTCGCAACTCAACACTGAGAGTCGCAACTCAACACTGAGAGTCGCAACTCAACACTGAGAGTCGCAACTCAACATTGAGCGTCGCAACTCAACATTGAGCGTCGCAACTCAACACTGAGAGTCGCAACTCAACACTGAGAGTCGCAACTCAACACTGAGAGTCGCAACTCAACACTGAGAGTCGCAACTCAACACTGAGAGTCGCAACTCAACACTGAGAGTCGCAACTCGACACTGAGAGTCGCAACTCAACACTGAGAGTCGCAACTCAACACTGAGAGTCGCAACTCAACACTGAGAGTCGCAACTCGACACTGAGAGTCGCAACTCAACACTGAGAGTCGCAACTCAACACTGAGAGTCGCAACTCAACACTGAGAGTCGCAACTCGACACTGAGAGTCGCAACTCAACACTGAGAGTCGCAACTCGACACTGAGAAAGTAAAGCATGATTTGGCTTCTTTTTAAAGGGGAAAAAATACTGTATCTTGTGTTTATACACATCTGTGAACATACACATTCATGTTCATACACATCTGTGAATATACATATTCGTGTTCATACATATCTGTGAACATACACATATGTGAACATGCACATATGTGAACATACACATGTGAACATACACATATGTGAACATACACATCTGTGAACATACACATATGTGAACATACACATCTGTGAACATACACATTCATGTTCATACACATCTGTGAATATACATATTCGTGTTCATACATATCTGTGAACATACACATATGTGAACATACACATATGTGAACATACACATATGTGAACATACACATATGTGAACATACACATTTGTGTTCATAAACATTTTCTCATTAAATGACAAAAATACTGGGAGAGAAGCACACTGTAGCGGTGCACTTTATATAATATACATTTAATATACACATAATATACATATAATATACATATGATATACATTTATTATGAACTTATTATACATAGTGGGGGAGAGGAATAGTAGTGAATTAAGTAAGCGACGTACGTCCATTCCTGACGTACGTCGGGCACAATACAGTAACTGATACGAAGAGTTTTGCATATTTCGGCTTGGCAATGTGGACGCTGATCAACAGTCCGCTGAAGAGGACCTCAGGGCCAGGCCTTCTTCAATAGCCTACTAAAAAGGACCACAGGGTGAGACCTTTTCAGCAGTCTGCTGAAGAGGAACTTCAGGGTGAGGCCCTCTTCAATAGTCTACTGAAGAGAACTTCAGGGCGAGGCCCTTTTCAATAGTCTACTGAAGAGGACCTCAATAGATAAACTTTAACATTCCAACATTCTTCTCAATATCTTCTTGTTTCCATTTTACGTCGTTCATTCCACTATTAAAAATTTCGATAAATGAAAACAGAGATGATGAATATGAGTGAAAATTAATGACACGGCGTTCATTGATGGACTTGTACGATCAATTCTGGAATGAAAATAAAAGTGAACGCATACGCGAACGTTAAGGCAGAATTTATCACTTAAAAATTGGTTCTTGGGAAAGCTGGTCGCCATTTTGGGGAAATTCACGAAAATTTGGGGAAAATTTACCAAATTTCCACCGAATCTGAGACAAATCCACCAAATTTGGAGGGGAAATTCAAAAAATTTTTTGACAAAAATCACAGATTTTGAGGAAATTCTCAAAAAATACTAACAGTACCAGCTCTGGCTATTACGAACTTCAGATATTACAAACTCTGGATACTATAAACTCCGGATATTATGTACATATGGGTGAGAAGACTGACTAGAAGCAAGAGGAGCCGCACACGAGCGATGGAAACTAGATACCAGAGATGGCGTTATGTGACGCAAGATGATTTGACTGCGTCATGTGAAGCAAGATGATTCGTGTCTTCATGTGATGCATGAGGATTGCGTCATGTGAAACAAAATGATTAGTGGCTTCATATGAAGCAAAGTAACTGCTCCATATTAAGCAGAATGAATGATTGCGTCACGTGAAGCAAGATGACTGCCTTATGTGAGGCAAAAATGATTGCGTCTTGTGAAGCAAGGTGACTCGATTGCGTCATGTGAAACAACCAATAACACCCACAAATACTGCTGGTAATAGCGTCTTACACTAGGGTGAGCCCTGCCCTTCAAAATGGCCATCTTGATGCTGCTCCAAGGCTCTTGATCCAAGGGCTCCGAGCTACTCTACTTACCTTTGGATTTAACTTCATTACCTCCACTTCCCCAGGCGCTGCATCACCCATGCGGGTTTGGCGTTTTCCCGTGAATAATAATAATAATAATAATCTCTGATAATATATCTAGAAACAATATGATTGGTGACCTTCCATGACGTAATAGTTTCTTCTTCAATCATTAGTTGATGAGGATGACGTCACGGCTGGCATGCGAGATGAGTGGTAGATGACGCCCGTGACGTAAGGGTTCACAGGAAGCTTGTCCAATGAGACGTAAGTGGGCGGGGGCAGGTGAGTGACGTCACAAGCAGGGAGCAGGATCACAAAGCAGCCAGCAGCAGGAGGGTGAGCATCAGCAGCAGTTCTGAGCAGCCTCTGGTGCTGCTCGAGTGAGCTGCTCGGGCAACTGTCGGAAGAAAACGAGAAGCGAGTGGTCAACATTGACACCAATAAGTGAATACACTAGAAAATATCATAGGTGTACACGAATACGTGTACAGGACACGTACATCACTCGCGAACATGTATTACTCACTCTCATTATTCCAGGTGGGAGTGTTGGTTGTCACAGTCTTCTTGATCCAGGTGTTCTTGGTGGTGGGAGGCCACCAGGGAGGCAGGGAGGTCACCTCCAGGGAGGTCGGGGGGTTGGATGACCTGGCTTCTATCTCACTACACGTGGCTGCAGAGACAAGAGAAACATCTGACCTAACTGGGCTGGCAGGGTGAGCACACTTGTAATTAAAAGTGATGACAGTAGCAATGATAGTAATACTAATGATAGCAATAATGACAATAGTGATAGTAATAATGATGACAGTAATAATAATGATAGTAATAATGATAGTAATAATGACAGTAATAATGGTAATAGTAATAATTACAGAAATAATGATCCTCAGTCATGTGTGTCAGAGTGAAGCGAGTCAGTTGGCAGAACAATGAATCAGGTCTCTGTGAGATCTATCCTACTGGCTATGTTTTCCTTACCTCTGTCCTTATATCTTGCTTCTTTTATTACCAACCTCCCCCCCCCACTTGTAGTCCCACGGCAATTGTTAGATAATTATATTTATAACAGACGGCAGAGCGTCGGACTGTCAACTTACGGACCTCGGTTCGAGCCCCTCGTCCACTAACCATTGCTCCCACCTTCACTAACCCTTTCGCATTTATGACAGCGCTGGACCCATGTTTTTTTCCCACTATCATTCCCCTTAAAATGAAAAACCACTGGCGTACTAACCCTGCCTGACGAGCTTCATGCCGTAGGCCAGGGGCTGCAGACCCCTCTTGCAGCTGGTGCCAGCCTCGATGATGAAGATCTCGTTGGTGTTGACCACTACCCCAGCGAAGCACTCGTAGGTGTCCACGTCGCGGCGGTGAGTGTAAGTGTACATCACACCTCCCTCTGACCACTGTCCTAGACACCGGTACTCACGCTCTGACGGCAACATACAGGAGGACGTTAGTGGGAGAGACACATACATACGTGTGTATTGAAGATTCATCAACTGGACAAGACCCGGGCTGAGACAATACTGGCGAACCATAAATATAATGTACGTGTTTATCTTCATGAGCCTTGATAAGCAAGCAGCAAATAACCACAATTAAAGAACAATACAAGCATCATGTAAGGACTGTTCGTGTCTTGGATCATCCTTAAGTAATGTGTCAGCGTAGGGAAGCACATCAACCTAACTTTCCTTTACATTTATCATGTCAACGACACTTTTACACTCAGACGACATTAAGAGCACACGAGTGTCTCTAAGTCGTCGTTCATGCAGTAAACTGTGATTAAAAAACAACAATAACAGCTGTTACTACTTCTGCTACTACTACTACTACTACCACTACTACTACTACTACTACTACTACCACCACTACTACTACTACTACTACTACTACTACTATTACTACTACTACTACTACTACCACCACTATTACTACTACTACTACCACCACCACTACTACTACTACTATTATTACTACTACTACTACTACCACCACTATTACTACTACTACTACTACTACTACTATTACTACTACTACTACCACTACTACTATTACTACTACTACCACTACTACTACTACTACTACTACTACTACCACCACCACTTCTACTACTACTACTACTACTACCACCACTACTACTACTACTACTATTACTACTACTACTACCACCACCACTACTACTACTACCACTACTACTACTACTACTACTATTACTACTACCACTACCACTACTACTACTACTACTACTACTACTACTACAGGCAGATGGACGAGGATTACTCATTACAAAACATTGATATACGAAAAGTGAAGAAATTTTACATTGCATCGCACTTTATCTAAGTAAACAACAACAACAACAACAACAACAACAACAACAACAACAAAAATATGATAATAATAAAAATAATTCTAGTGGTGTATTAAGGTTATGATCAGTGTTCAGTCATAAGTTACACTAAGGTTATGATCAGCCATTAAGAGGTTATTGTTTTATTATAGAGTAATCAATGTTCTGTTATGGTGAAGTCAATGCTGAGTCACAACGGTCAAGCTAGGTCAGGGTTCATCACAGAGAGGTCAGTGTCACGCAGGTCATGAGTTCGATAACAGAAAGGAAGGAAGAGGTAAGAGGAAGGGATAGAGACGAAGGAGAGGGAAGAGGGAGAGAGAAGAGAAAGGGAGATCAGAGAAGGGGATGGTGTAGGTAGATTCAGGTGGAGGTGAGGGGTGTGTAGTGTTGTCTCCGGTGGTAACCAAGATATTGAACAAGTGGTACTACTGCTGCTGCTGCTGCTGCTGCTGCTGCTGCTAAGGCTTAAGGGTGCTGCTACTGCCGCTGGTACTAGGGGAGTAAGGGGGAAAGTGCTGCTACTGCTGCTGGTGCAGGGAATAGGGTGGAGGGTGCTGCTGTTGCTGCTGGTGCTGGGGGGGAGTAAGGTGGAGGGTGCTTCTTGTACTAGGAGAGTAAGGGGGAGAGTGCTGCTGTTACTGCTGGTGCTGGGGAAGGGGGAGAGTGCTGAAGTTGCTGCTGATGCTGGGGGATTAAAGGAGAAAGTGCTGCTTATCCTGCTGGTGCTGGGGAAGTAAGGGAGAGGGTGCCGCTGGTGCTGGGGAAGGGAGGGGGTGCTGCTGATGATGGGGGAGTAAGGTGGAGGGTGCTGCTGGTGCTGGGGGAGTAAAGGAGAGGGTGCTGCTGGTGCTGGGAGAGTAAGGGAGATAGTGCTGCTGATGCTGCAGGTGCTGGGGTAGTAAGGTGGAGGGTGCTGCTGGTGCTGGGGGAGCCAGGGGGAGGGAGCTGCTGGTGCCACAACACTAGAAGTGTTACGGGTGCCAGGCAAGAGATACAGTGCCAGGTCTTAGCTCCTGGCCTCTGGGAGGAGTCCTGACCTTCAATAGTGACGGGGTCCTGGCCGCGCAGGTGCGCCCACGCAGATTCCTGCGCCTCCACACGGAAATAGAAGGGGCGCTCGTGTGGGTAGGGCAGCCTGGTAGTACCCACAGTCTGACCCATGACTTGTGGCTCCTGTTGAGTTTGTGCCTGCGCCTGCGCTTGGGCCTGCGGCGAAGGGGTGTGGATCTCGTCGTTGCGGAAGACATAGATCTGCTTGGTGGGGCGCTCTCTGCGTCGAGGCTGCGCCCCGATGGTGGTGAACTGCGCATCGGCCGACCAGCCGAGCTCTGCGGCGCGGCCGTGCGCCCAGGAGAGCTGGCGCGGAGCGTGGCGGAGCGCGTGACGCGTGCCCCGGGTACCCAACAGGGCGCGGGGGTCCCATACGCGGTACACGCCACCGCGGCGGCGGCGGCGGCGCCGCCTGCGGCTTTCACCACCCGCGCCAGGGTGGCCACCACTACCACCATCTACCACCATCGCATCACCACCACCTACCACCACCATCATCATAACATAATAATAATAATAATAATAATAATAATAATAATATAATAATAATAATAATAATAGAATCTAAACAACGTTATTTTCTCACCCTCATTATTATTATTATTATTATTATTATTATTATTATTATTATTATTATTATTATTATTATTATTATTATTATTATTATATGAATCGTTAAGCCCATCTGGATCATTCATAATGATTATTTTCATTGTCAATATGAATGATACTAATAGCTTAATAATAATAGTTGTAATAATAATAATTGTAATAATAATAACTGTAATAATAACAATTGTAATAATAATAATAATAATCGTAGTTATTTCAATTATTATAATCATTCCAGTTAACATTCAATATTCACATTCCTACTGCGAGAAAATAGTGCAGTATTTCTCAATCAGTCTCAATTATTATTTTTTTTTACGGGAAGGGCTCTTAATCCAAGGAATCGGAGCTACCCTCCTCTTCCTCGGATCACGCTTGATTCCCCCCTCTCCCCATCCCTAATTTCTCAGCTGGTCCAGTTCCTCCCCCAGATTTTTTTTTCCAGTTTTGTCTTCAAGTTCTCCCCTCCTCGACAGTGTTGTCTCCCGCAGGAGGAGGTACTGCTGCCTACTGCAGGAGGTGCTGCTGCCTACTGCAGGAGGAGATGTTGCTACTTCCTGTAAAAGGAGGTGCTGCCGCCTTCTGCAGAGGGAGATGCTGCTGCCTACTGCAGGAGGTGCTGCTGTCTACTGCAGGACAAGGTGCTGCTGTCCTCTGTAGGTGGTGCTGCTACCTCCTACAGGACGTGCTGCTGCCTACTGCAGGAGGTGTTGCTACCTCCTACAGGAGATGCCGCTGGTCTCCCCTGAAGGAGGGACTCCCACTGTTTCTAACACCAAGGAAGCGATACTCACCTTCATATATCTCGCTGTGGTTGAAGCAGGAATGGACGGTGTAGTGCATGTGCTGTGGGTCGCTACAGACGGAGGAGAGGCGAGCACATAGCTCCTGGGCATCAGGTATAACCCCGGTATACTCCCCAGTGATGGGGCACCCTGATAGGTTCTCCGGGTCCAGACCTGCAATATAGGGTAAGGAAGATGGGGTAAGAAGATAGGGAAGGGAGAGGGGTTATTTTGGGGTGTTTTGAGGTGGTGGGGAAAAATTGGAGGAAGAATTGTACCGTGACCGGTACAATATGCAAATAACCCTCATCGTCACATTAGTTTGACATTGTAAATGGTTCAAGTCGAACCGAAACGTCGTCGTAAGCTCCTCTCTATGTGCCTGCTATTTGTGTGTGCTATCTCTTCGTTTGACATAGATAATTGGTGATGCTGGAGAATAAGAATCACAACACCGCGACTATAACAATTCATAACTACTCCACAAGTTGCCAATGAAAACTAAATGACGTTATCATCACCATTGTAGACGTGATGATTGTTCCAGCAAGGATCGAAAAGTCGTCTAGTTTCCATTTCCAACTTGTGGGTTAGCTGTGTACATCCAGTGTTCTTGGAATTACTCGTTCTTTAAATGGTTTACACTCTTGCATCAATGAATGTGAAAGAATTCTCTTTCTGAGAGTTATTGTAAAATACAACAAGAGAAACTTGGCACTTTCTTTTATCTTCCACTGTCTTCTGTGTGTTTTTCTAGTCTTCATATTTGTCCATATAATTGTCCATATAATTGCACATGTGTCAAGATCATCATCTGGCTGGAACTGAATACCACTGATACACAGCTAAGTGTTGTCATTCAGCAGTCGCATTTATTTCCTGGGTAGTATTGAATATTGTTTGAAAAAGCTAGCTCTTTCTTGGCTTCTAAAATATAACAAGAGGAAATTTTGCCCTTTCTTTGACTTGTACTATAAAACAAGAAGGAATTTTGCCCTTTCTGTGACTTAATCTACAAGACAAGAAGTAGGTGTTGTACTCACGTCCTTGCGTTGACCACTCTTGTCCACGGAACATATCGTCGGAGCACACCCTGGAGGCGTTGTACTGAGCGCTGGGGTAGGCTGCTGTGGAAGGTAACCCAACAAAGAGGGTAGAGGTTAGAATCGTCTGCCTGGCTCCTCGTCGTGGCAACTCACTGGCCATACTTATTGACCCACGGACATAATTCACACGAAATGGAGGCTTGATCCTCCGTCAGGCCTCTGATTAGTCAAGCTGTTAGTGATCCCTCAGGTAATCATTGAGGACAGGTCGCATGATACAGGGTCACCATATTTTAATTGATCACTATGTAAAGTAAAAGGACACAAGTGCAACATATTGTCGGTATTTCTACCAACATATATACAATTGATCACTAATACAACTAGTGATAATAGAAGCCTTACGCAAACCAATGAAAATTATTAGATAATAGACACAGAGAGATCCTTTATTGACAACGTTTCGCTCACGCAGTGAGCTTTTTCAGGTCACTGTTTTCGACTGCCATTGATTTTATAATGACTTTGTTTAATACCATTTCTCTCCAAACAAATAAACATAGATTAGAACAGTGCATGGGTGGGAGAGGTTGAATTTAAATGAAACCTTCCTAGGATAGGCCAGTAGGCCTACTGCAGTAATTCTCTCTTATACCGAGAGAGGGAACATACAGTAGAGGCATCACTGCGCTCCCCGAGGTTCCTAACAACATGATAATAACAAACTTATTCTTTTCTAGTGAAAGTCAACTTTAACTTTTACTTATCTCTGCTAAGAAGTCTCAGGAGGTACGTTCATCAGACTCTAGTGTGCAGTTCTGGCATACTATTC